ACGATTGGAGGTGCCTTCGTCGGCACCCTTGTCCTACCTTGCCTTGCCCTCGAGGCGATCAAAGATCGCTCCGACTGCCTCTTCTCCTGAGGCGTGGCTGGTGGCGATGTCTAGGAGCTCCTTGGTGGTCCGTGAGCCCTTGCGTCCTAGCTTAAGAACCAAGGACTCGCAGGATGTCCCGGACAGGAAGGCTCCTATCACGTCGGTGTCGGCGACGTTGGGGAGCTCGTTGCACTATTGGGAGAAGCACAGGATGTACCCGCGAAGGGTCTCATCGGCCTTCTGGCGGTAGTTCTTGAGGTCCCATGGGTTCCTAGGACACTTGTATGTGCCCTAGAAGTTTCCCACAAAGATCTCCTTCAAATCCGCCCAACTCTGGATTGCGTTGGATGGCAGGTGCTCCAACCACGCTCATGCCAAATCGGCCAAGAACAGTGGAAGGTTGTGGATAATGAAGTCATCATTATCCGCGCCACCGGCTTGACAGACAAGCCGATAGTCTTCAAGCCAAAGTACGAGGTTTGTCTCCCTAGAGTACTTAGGGATATTGGTAGGTGGCCGGTACCTTGGTGGGAAAGCAGCGTTGAGGATGTGCCGACGGAAGGCCTAGGGCCCTGGCAGGCCAGGGCTCAGGCTTCGGTCCTCGCCGCTGTCGTAACGTCCACCGCATCGAGGATGATAGCCGTGGCGGGCTCCTTCCCTTGGGTCATTGTAGGTGCGTCTGCGGGCATCGATGGTGCTACGTGCGTCACGGTTACGGCCGAGACACTGATGTATCTGGGCTACAGCGCGCTGCCCGCCGCCTTGTAGAGCCTGGTGGACTAATGCGTCCCTAGCGAGGCGCATCGAGGGCGTGCACTGGCTGGTGTCGAGCTCGCGTCGTCGAGACAACGAGCTCTCCGCCTGCTGCGCCGCCGCACGCTCAAGCAGCATGTGAATTTCGCGGTGGGCCCGACGATCCTCCGGCGTTGCGGCCTCTGGAAGGCCATGAAGCAAGGCCATTGCGGCGGTGATGTTCTGGCTTGCCTGAGTGAAGTGAGGAAGGGTCTCATCATCGGCGATGATCCTTCGGTTCACGTCACAGGCCACGACACGTGCGTGCCCACCGTCTCTGCGGCGTTCGATCTCTCAATCGACCTCCGTGTATTCCCAAACAAGCTGTTGTCTGGCTTCATTGATCTCTCGCTTCTAGGCTCTCAGCTGCTCCACCCTTACGCGAGGTGGGGCCACTGTATCTCCTTCGGTTTTGCCACCAAGGTTGCCTGCAGGGGTAGCCTCCTCTACGGAGGCGCTTTTGACGTGTCCCTCAGAGGTATCCGCCATGAAACATTCTCGGGAGGGGTGGTGGCTCCCCCTACCGGAGTCAGAGCTAGAGTTTGACCCTGGCCCCTCTGCGATGAGGTCATGGAGGGATTATGTTACGCTTTCGATCATTCCCACGAACTCATTGTTCGTGGGGGGTGGGATCGTGCGTTGTGCCACAAGGTGGCTAATGGTCGCCGCGGCGTTACGGAGACCGAATGGGAACGCTGTTGGGGCGCTCTCGTGCGGAGTGTTCTGGAGAGAGGGTGAGGCAGCGCGGGTCCTCCCTAGACGGCTGGGGTCCAAGGGAGAAGCCAAGCCGGTGCTCAAGCCTCTCGTAGTGGAAGCCGATGGAGGGGAGAGGTCGGATGGCGACATGGGCCAACACCAACTCTCCTCCCATCGTGACGATGAAGTCTAGGTCACCAAAACGGACGCGTGCGCCCGGGACCTAGCTAATTGCGTGGTTAGCCATCCGAGGCCTGATTTGGAATGCGCAAAGGCCCCTACCTAGCGCGCCAACTATCGGTGTTTTGAACAAACACCAACTAGTAAATTTATAATTGTTGCGTCTTAGGCCCAGATGGTGTACTAAAGGACACAAGGTTTATACTGGTCCAAGCAGAATATCCCTACATCCAGTTTGCTGTTGCTCGTGTTATTAGTACCAGAAAAAGGTTCATAGTAGGGGGTACAAACGGTCGAGAGAGGGACATGTCCCAAGTCTATGATAGAAAGGTCAAAAGGGCGCCAAGAGCTTGGTTGCTGCTTGACTGTGTGTTGTGTGGAATCGATTCATCGTCTTGTGCCTCAAGAGCGATCGGTCGGTCCATCGGTCGGTCCATCGGTCGGTCCTCTCTTTAGTGGGGTGCCCTGTCCTCCCTTTTATAGACCAAGGGGGAGCAGGGGTTTACAGATGGGAGAAAGGGAAAAAACCAAAGGTAGAGAAGGTCCTTTGAGGGAGCCGGGTCTTCCTTTTCCCCTGTTCCTGTCCTGCTAACATGGCAGACCGTGTCAGGAATGGCGTGTTCGTTGATCCTTATAGGGCAGTGCTCTGGCCTCTTTCAGCAAGCGGGTGCGTCCCATCCTACACCGGAGGATGATGCGGCATGCCAAAGAGCCGAGCTGTGACCCTTCGGGGAGTAGACGGGGAAGTGACCATACGTCTATCACTATAGATGATGTGAGTTCTGTCTTGGATCATAGTGGTTGTCATATGCTCGTGTTAGTATCCGCGTCCGAGGGCTGATGGCGGCGCCTACAACACTGTGGGACAAAAGTCAGCGCCTACAACACTGTTCGGGCCCTGTCAGTCGAAAAGGGCCTAAAGCGCCCGTCCCGTCGTATCCTGACAGTACCTTCCTACAGGCATGCAGGGCATGACCCTCGATATTGCTGTTGACCCGAATGTCCTATCCTACCCTATGCTCGTCATCATGAAGGAGCAGGGTGCAATCGTCGGGCGGGACGGTGCCTACCCCTACCCTCGGCCCGTCATTGGCGAGGCGGAGGGCCCCGACGCACTGACTACCACCATCGGGCAAGGCGGAGCCCACCCCAAAGGCGTTGGGTGGCGGTGAGACCATTGTTGGGCGGCTGAGCCGTCGAGGCGAGAGCCCCCATCTTCCGTCGTTCGGGCAAGAAGCGTAGTAGTGTTCTTGTTTGATCGAAAGCATCAGCGTTTGATGGTTTATTAGTTCCACATCATTGGGTACCCCGGTATTAGGTCCCCGACAAATATTATAAGCTTTATTCTCTCATTTATGATCCTGATGAAAAAATGTGGATTTTTGAGTTCTCCCTTGGGGTGTGCTCGACGAAACTGCGTAGTTTAGTGTCCTCTCTTGAGTACTTAGTGTCTAATGAAAGACAAGTACTTCTGGGAGGCATTAGATTAGACGGTTCTGCCACAACGATGAATGCTTTCATATCCATGTTAATGCTTCATGGGCATTTTCCTTTCACAATCTTGTTTAAAAGTGGTGTCTAAACTTGATTGCAAACCATCATCATCCAGTTCTATAACCTTGCTAGCTATTTTATTTTCACATGACATTGATTGATTTATAAGCTTTGCAATGCACTTTTTTTTCTTATGTGCTATAAAGAGTTAATAGTCTTGGGATAAGCATGGTGTTTTGATCTTGGTTAATAAGTCTCTATGGCATAGAGAAATTCAACAACCTAGTTGTAAACATGGCGTTTAGAACTAGGTGCAAACATTGCCTTTGCTTATATGCCTTCCTCTTATATGCATATACACCTTGCACTCACGCGCTTCCATTAGGTTTTTATCTTTCTTTTCACTAGGATTTGTTTCGTTGAAATTTGGCTTATGTTGCTGCTTAAGCTGATTTGTTGTGAGAGAAAAACACTATGTTCCTTCGCTGAAAAAAATTGCTAAAAAATAGGGCGTAGGCTAATTATGCCACAAGTTGAGAATCTTAGGATGTGTTGTTGGTTTGTTGGCGATTGTTTCTATTCCCAATCGTCACCCTAGGGTAGTATGTCGCTTGGTGGCTTCCTCAGCATTGTGGAGATAGGCAAGCTTTAGTGACGAGCTAAACCACGAGATAAACACCTTGTCTCTTGTATTCTTGCTATTTGTGTTGCGCTCTACTTGTTCGTTGGTGATTTCAGGGTTTGCTCCTAATCTACTTGTGCATAAGCTTGTGACCTCATTCAAGTGGTGAAATAGGTTCAACGCGACTCCAGAAGCATTAGTAATTTACTCGATCTAAGTTTCATTGGGTAGTTTTTGAATTGTGCCTTCGAGGTGCTCTGATACACGACACCCCGCAGTTTTGCTCGACGTGTAAAAGTGCAGTAGTGCCGCACCTGTTACTGACCGTTGTGATGGACTTTTGTTTTAACAGGCATAGTCACCCCGCATGCTAGATCCATTTCAATAGTGAATCTAAAAATATCAGTATTGTGTTATGAACCATATATTTTTTGAACCGGTGGTCAAAGATATAAATATTTAATTTAGGACAAAGATAATACGACATGTAAAAATAATTAGAGAAAATATATACATATAGATATAGATATAGATAATATAGATGATGAAATGGGCTAATATCAGGGTCCATGAGCCTTGACTTGCTCACTTTTATTATCGCCGAGACGTCCACAGAAAGGGAGAAGATGGCGCATCCAGCATCCTGAATCCTTTTTTCAGATAAATCCAGCATCCTGATTCTGTGGGTCGTGACGTGTTGGCTTTCCTCGATTCCTTCTTGGGCCATGTTTAGTTACCTCATTTTTTAGAATTTGGCACTGTACAAAAAGAAAATTCTCCATCATATCAAATTTATGATACATGCATAAAGTATTAAATGTTGACGAAATCAAAAACTAATTGCACAATTTAGTTGTACTTTGTGAAACGAACGTTTTGAACCTAGTTAATCAACAATCGGTCAATTATTAGCAAATACAAACAAAACGCTATGTAACGCTATGTGACTGAATTCAGCCGGCGCCAAATCGGTGGCCTTGGTCGCTCCTCCGCCCCTGCCCCTCCTCGCTACAATCGATTTCGTCGTCGCCGCTTCCTCGGTTGCTCCCCTCCTGCTTTTCAGAGGGGAGCTGGGGGAAAGTGCTCCCTCCGTCGTCGCCCAGCAGATCGATCGAAGCCAGCAAACAAATCAGAAAGAGCAAGAGAGGCGCCCGAGTCCCTAGGGCGGAAAACCATGGACGGCGCCGCCAACTGGCTCCCCACGCAGGGCGCCGACCCTGCCGCCGTCGCTGCCGCCGGCGGCTTCGACCCTAACGCGGCTGCCCCCGCCGGAAGCGACTGGCGCACCCAGCTTCAGCCCGAGGCGCGCCACAGGATCGTCAATAAGATGTACGTCCTCTCCATCTTCCTTCCCTCCCTCCTCCCCCTAATGGGAATTGTCAAGCAACTGCAATCTTTTCCTTCCGCCGTGGCGGATCCATGTCGTTTCTTTTACGATTCGATCGATTCGATCCGTGTACACCTGCTTCCCTCTTTACTTTATTTAGATTAGATAGACAGTATCATGCTTGATGGGTAGGGTTTGCTGATGCATCCATGCACTTAGACCTGCTGAACCATCCTTGCACTTGGACCTCACAATTCACACTTGGACCTAACAATTCGTCTACCTTTCTCTTGTTTGTTTACCCACGAATCACCTACTCGTTTGTTCGTGACATATGATCCATACAGTCGTGTTTGTTTCGTGACATATGGATCCATACAGTCGCATTAATGCCATCCAATCCAATACATCATACTTTCTAAGATTATATATCTTTATTTAAACCAAATTTAATCATCAAAATTATCAGTAGAAACTACTTGACTACCTGTTTGCTTGCTATAAGATTCAAAAAAAAATCTTTATAAAGCCATATCTGCACAATAAACACACATAGAAACATATGCAACTGCATATCACAACATTTCAGTTTGAGTATGGGTGTAGAATGCGACAACTCATAATGTGATTGTTTTTTTTTTCTTTCCAAACACTTCTCTATCCCCTAGTGGAGGGTAGGCATGGCGTAGCGGTAGGCTGCTGACTTTCTCCAATTTGTCAACCTCCTTGCAAAATAAGAAAGGGTAAAACCATTTTCTTCCTAGACCCACATCTTGTGTAGAACCTTTTAGCATTGGTTATGTGGTATGACCCGAGTCTTTTTCTGCCAACTAATTATTAAGTCATGTATATGCCTGCCAATGGAATGTGTCCATTTTACCCTTGCCAGCACTTAAATTTTACCCTAGTTGCCACTTGAATGTGTCCATTTTTACCCTAGTTGTTCGTTCGGTTCAAAAATATGTATGTGCATTAGCGGTCCACAAATTCCATGCCTATTATTTTGTACATGTACTGGGGCTTCTGGTTTACTGGACTAATTAAATGGTAATCAAACACATTTATCACTGTATCTCTCAATATATCACTTCTTGCATTATATATGTATAGAATGGAGACTCTGAAGAAGCACCTGCCAGTATCAATACCAGAAGGACTGACTGAGCTTCACAAAATTGCCGTGCGATTTGAAGAGAAAATCTATACTGCAGCCACCAACCAGGTACATTTAACCTAACTCTAGTATGCTCTCGTACAGAGTCAGAATGTTTAGTCATGGGGTGGGTCAATGATATGGACATTTGATCTATGACAATCTTAAAGGCTTTTAGGTAAATTTTAGATGCTTATAGATCTTTTTATCATGGTAAAATACATGATGGGGCAATGCATGGATACTTTGCTAATCATATTTAGGAGGCGTGGTATCAAAATATCATGGGCCCATGCAACTTGCACATGTAAATTGTATTAATGCAAAAACCACAACTTAAATCCTTTTGTTTTTTTTTTCACTCAGTCTGATTATTTGCGGAAGCTTTCTCTGAAAATGCTGTCCATGGAAAGTCAGACAAAGACCCAACAGAACCCTGGAAATGCTCAAGTGATTCCAAATCAGAACCCTCCTGGTCCAGGTACCATACACATCAAATGCAACATCACACCTTTTTTTTTGTGCTATCAATGTATTTGCTTCTCAAAAAAAAAAAAGAACGCAGGCAAGATATTCAGGGCATAATTAAGTTTTCCACATTAAGAGAGTTTACTTCTCACTGGTGGAATGCATGCTTTTTATTTTCACTTGCTCCCTAATATGTTCATATTTGCATCTTACGTTTTTTTTGTCGCTTTATTGTTTTAAAGGGCTAATTTGTTATTGCTAAAGTTTATTGGCTATCATAATATAGTGCCTGTTTGGATGCCGTAGTTTTAGAAAAACTATGGTATGAAGTAACTGTAGTTTTATAAGATAAAAGTGTGCAAAACTGTCGTTTACAGAGGTTATCACTGCATCGTCCACGATGTATGCCGAGTTTGTAGCATGTTATGAGGCCACGGGGCAGGTGAACTGGCTAAAGAATTTTATGCCCGGGTTAAAAGTGGTCGACGACATTCATAGACCACTCAAGTTGTACTGCGACAATGAGCCAGCAGTATGTTATGCTCACAACAATAAGTCAAGTGGTGCTGTCAAACATATTGACATAAAGTTTCATATTGTGAAAGACAAAGTTCGGGATCATTCTATTAGTCTCGAGCATATAAGTACAAAGAAAATGTTTGCAGATCCGCTTACTAAAGGCTTACCGCCCAATGTGTTCATAGAACACTTAGCCGGCATGGGTTTACGGGAAAGCCTATGATCCCTAGACAATAAGGGGCCTAGCTGAGAATCTGTTTCAAAACAGAGAGGTGTATTGTATCTGTTAATCCATTGGTACTAACTGTTGTGACGAGGTATGCTCTATGCGCTAATCTGTGATGGAATGGGACAAGAGATAAGTATTTTAAGTTTAAGACAAAAGGTGAGATCAAGGGGGAGAATGTTAGGTTGATCTCCGCCGAGTCGGCCCAACGGTCGACTCGGGCCTTATCCCGCGCCCTGATTGGGGGTGCCCAGCCGCACATATGGCTGGTGGGCCCCCGTCGCGCAGCGCTATATAAAGGAGGTGGGGGCCAGGGCTCGCGACACGAGGTTCACCGACGCCGCCACAACCCCACCTACAACCCTAATCCGATATAGAGAGGGTGCGCTGTGAGCGACGAGAAGTTTCACCGCCGCCCCTACACCAACCTCGACTTCCACACCGCCGCTGGACGCCACTGCCACCCTTCACCGACACTTCGTGCTACTATCACTGATGTAGACAAGGCCCGATCTTCCGATAGGTACGATAGCGTCGATTGGTGGAGACTCGACGTTCACGATCTAGGCTTCGAACCAAGACTGATTCGGACCCCCGCAACCGTTACACCACAGCTCCGTTGGTTATCAACCACGCGAACGTGATTGACCTCGCCGAGAAGGCTTTCCTGCAAGCGAATCGAGAACACAAGCAAGAATGGGATGAACGCAATCTGAAATTGCAAATAAATATAAGGCTTATGATAACGAGGAGTTCAAATCTTTATTCGAAAGGACTAATCGCCACAGGCGGACAAGATCAGGAACTGGAGCCCTGGTTCACAGCAAGCAGTCTTGGCGACACAGTTGCAGCAAAACGGCGTCTGTTTCACGAGGAAATCAAGAACTAAACAAAACCGAAACCCTAAGGAGAGCGACGGCTGCTAATTATAGAGCCCCGGACATCACCCCCCTGGACGCGCCCCCTAATGGGCCCAAACACGATACACGGTCCAACGGACCAAAAGACGGTGTCACAGCACCGTGGCAGATTCTGGACACTGACTTGTTTCGACGATTTCCGTTGATTCCGAAGGGCTTTTGACGTGAGACCACTTGCATTGGCTTCCTTATCTAATTAGTTTTCCATCCATATGTGGATCGTCGAAAACAGAGCCCGGACGCGCCCGTGTGACCAGTTTTATGACAGACTGGTCCTGGAACCCGAGACGGACTCGAACTTGAGTTGCTTTGGGTCTCCACCTCGGGGACTCGAACCGAATTAGCCTCGGGCCTCCTTCTTGACTTGGACACCCCTGTTGGCCTCCTACCCCTCCATACTATGCGCCAAACATGGTCGTATGCATGGGTGTCATGTCCTCATCAATCACCGTCACCATGGCTTCCTCCTCTGCCAAGCCCACCGATGGTCGGTAAACCCCCCCCCCCTCTCATCCTTTCTTCTCTCTCTTTCTCCAGTACATGTTCTAGGTTGCTTTATCCCAAATGCAAGTAAAATCACCCGCTAGATCTACTCTAGTGATCCTAAGAGTCTAACACAAAACTCTCACGAAGAGAAAGATGAAAGTGAGTTCCTATAGAGAGAAATTGCGGGACTAGCAATTAATTAATTAATTTATACGCAAGTATTAGCAGTTTATATTGAACAGTGGGACCGCAGTCGCAGTGGAGAGAGAGGTCCACTGCGGCAATCCAACGCCAACGTAGCGCGCACGAGTCAGAGGACAGGACAGTGGACAGGAGTCGTCGGGAGGTGCTGCCCGCAGTTGCCTTGCTGTTTCCTCTTCCTCGTCTCACCTAGCACGAACAGATCCATCCAATACTCCAATCCAAGCACGCCGATCCAACCACAAAGCACGAAGCCATGGACGCCAGCGATGACTGGCGCGCCCAGCTCCAGCCCGCGGCGTGCGGCAGGATCGTGAACAAGATGTACGCCCACTCCCCTTTCTTCATGCCTCCTTCCTCCTTCCTCGCCACCCTCACACTTTAATCAGACGCATGTCTTGCATTCAGAGTACTGACTCTAAGGAAGCATCTGCCGGTATCAGTGCCAGAGGGGCTGGTTGAGCTTCAAAGAATTGCCGTGCGATTTGAAGACAAGGTGTATGCCACAGCCACTAGCCAGGTACCTTAACCTAACTCTGCTCACTAACTCTGCTTCTACCTTCCGCTCAGTGCTCAGCACTGAGTGGGTGGGTGGGTGCGTCAATCATAGTTTCTACATTCTCGCACAAAAAAAAGGAAAAAATGCAAACCTAGAAAAAAACATGGAAAACAGCCATCTATGAACAATCTGCTATCTATATATTTATTTTTATTTTTTACTATAAAAATAGACCGAAGGGTGGCCCTGGTGCAAGCGGTAGTCTTACCGCCTGTGACCGGAAGGTCCCGGGTTTGAGTCGCGGTCTTCTCGCATTGCACAGGCGAGGGTAAGGCTTGCCACTAACACCCTTCCCCAGACCCCCCACAGAGCGGGAGCTCTCTGCACTGGGTATGCCCTTTATAAAAAAATAGACTATGAGTAAGATATTTGGGCCACTAGGGGAACGCGAGGGATGCATTTTTCTTTAAAATTTACATGTTATCTAGGTTGTTCCCAGCTTTCATAATCTGAGCAAGGAACTTCCTTCAATTTTAAAATGGGCTTGTGGGGGCAGTTTTTTCCTAATCCTAAGAACGATGCCGTGAAATGGCAGTGTTAAGCCCATTCGCTTGGTTGAGGCAATGGGTACCATTCTCAGCCTTGGATGAGACATTGTCTTTTCACAGCTGCCATCCAAAATTTTCCTCAACACAAGCCTTTGTTCAACTTGAAGCCCTAAATTCCAAATTAATCGATGTGTGAAATTTACAAACGAAATGCCTGTGCATGAAATTCAAGTCATGGTCTGTAGCAAACTATATCAACTTAGGAGGAATCATAGGTATCCAGATTCTCCTTGATGATGACTCTAGATTAGGTGGGTTAGGTGTGCCTCCATATCATCAATGAACTTTGATAGGCTCAGTTCCTATGTCCAAGTCATGATCTCATAGGTTTTCTGGAATCTGGATTGGGTGGACACTGAACTGATGAGAAAACATGAGGTTGCTGTGAATGTCCAGTAGAATGACAATTTTATGGACTCTGTGAACAGGTCACATCCGGCAGGGGTAAGTGATCGCCCTGATTCCACTGTCAAAGGGGCATTGGGTACAGGTTGGCTCCAGAGGCGGACCTAGAATTGCAAAGCATTGATGTCACTACCATTGGTGTCATGTCTATGTCAATCGTTGCCTCTTATGTGTACAATAACTTACCATTGATTTTATATAAGCCATTGCTGTCAGATGACAACAATACTAACACTCTGAATTCGCCCACATCCCTAACGTCCTGCTCAGGATTCAAAGTAACTTCCTTGCATGCTTAATTATGAAACTCTAGTACTCTGTGTGCCTAATTAAGAAAAATCTTTAAGTTGTTTGTATCTAAATCTTTACCGTTTATTCATTGTCACTGTATCTCTATAGGGATTAATTTGCTGTTGCTAATTTCACATACTCACAATTAAATGTTATTTGATGGTGTGTAAAGTGATGCACATGAACTGTAAATGGTTATACATAGCAATCAATTTTCATGGTGGATAATGGTGCCAGCAGGTAGTAGCAGCAAAGGGAAGAAGCAAAAGAAGTTGAGATGCCATTTCTGCAAAAAAGGTGGCCATTTTAAGAAGGATTGCTTGAAGAGAAAAATATGGTTTGAAAAAAAAGGTGTATACAATATTTTTCTGCATGCTTGGAAGTTAGAATCTACTCATTATAGGTCCTAGTAATACCTACTCGTTAGATTCTAGTGCTATTACTCATGTGTCAAATGCTATGCAGGAGTTGCTTATGATCCAACCCATAAGCGGACTAAAGCACATGAGAATAAAAATGAAGGCACTGTATTGAAGGGATCAGGACTCGCAGAGTAATCCATGTATATGTCTGTATGTCTGTGATTTGTACTTAAAGAGTGTATGTATGTTTTTCGAATGTAGCAGAAATCTTGTGTTTATGAGAAAGTTGGATGTACTAAGTTTTAAGGTTATGCATGTAGACGAGAGAATACATATACATATTATTGTGGTCCCAGTACTTTAATTGATCAGTTATGCCATTTCAACCTTCATGATGTTTTTTCTAAAGCCATGCTGAACAAGTTACGAAAATAAGTGTGATGCACACAATGATATGCTTTCTTTTGGCACAAGAGATTAGGTAATAACATAACAAAATGAAGATTTTGTTGGCCGGCATATATGTGGATTCACATTAAGGGCAAATAAGACCTCACGAATATCGAAGCAACCATCTGCAAGGAGTTAATACAAGGTTCACATAAACTGTTACGATTGAACACACAAAACCATTTTTGCCCATTTGATGTTCCTTTTTATTGGGGTGGTGAAAATATTAATCTCTCTTTATTGATGACTTCTCATGTTATTGTCTTACTTAGCCAAGGACATCTAAGGATTACCTGTAGCAAGTGAAAAGATAGGTTGATAGAAAGTTTTTGTTTCTTCAAACATACTCCCTCCACCCCACACAGCAAAGAATATCATTTTCATTTTTCGAGAAGTCAAATATTTTTAACTTTGATCGATTACATGTGAAATAATATTTATATTTATAATACATAATTAGTATCATTAGATAAATCGTAGAATATATTTTTTATAATAATTTTTTTTAGTGATATAAATGTTGCTAATATTTTTTCTATAAAGTTAGTCGAATTTGAGAAAGTTTGACCAGTACGCATATCATAACGTTATTCTTTTGGGGACGGAGGGAGTACACGCTTTGAATTAATTTATACTTTAGCCTCACCTACACAAACCAAGTAACCAACATACAGAAAAGAGTAACAAAAGTTTCAGGGTGCATCCCTTCATTCTAGTAGTAATATGTTCCGAATACAAACATTGTATATCAGCAAACACCGGTCCTGGACAAATCAACTTGTGCACAGTGCACTATCCAGAATTTTGAGACGATTAAATTTCCTAGGAATCTACCCAATGTTGCATCTCAGTCTGTTCAATACCCTGTAGATATATCAGACCGACTACCACTTCCACTACAGCTGTTGTTTAGTCTCTTCCTTTTCTGTCAATGGGAACTGAACAAACGTGACGTAGATTCAGTCCCAGCACAAACCACACTTGAGCACAACAAAACTGCTAGCGTGAAATGTTCGACTGCTCTTGAACTTCACCAACTGTGGAGACAAACAAATCAGGTCTAATACAATTAGCATAGAAGCCAGTAATTCACAAGGTTACACAGCAAGCGTACCAGGAAGTTCTACTGCGAAGTTAGCTTGAGCATCAGCAGCCGAGTTATATTCCTGCGAAACAAACGAGGCAGCATGAGTGTCAGGGGTATCATGGTTTAGCTACTGACATTTTCCCCTCTTTTTTTTTTTGATAGAGAGGGACTTTCCGACCAACATTGAATCCAGTTAAAAGGGACTCTTGCAGAAAGTTATGTTTTACTGAAGAGCCTTTCAGATGGTCTTATCAATCCATAGAGAATTAGAGATGCCAACCTAAATGTTTACAACAACAACAAAGTCTTTAAGTACCAATCAAGTTGGAGTAGGCTAGAGTTGAAACCCAGCAGAAGTTATCAAGGTTCAGGCACGTGAATAGCTGTTTTCCAAGCACTCCTATCTAAGGCTAAGTCTTTGGGTATATTCCATCCTTTCAAGTCTCCTTTTATTGCCTCTACCTAAGTCAACTTCGGTCTTCCTCTGCCTCTCTTCATGTTACTATCCTGGCTTAGGATTCCACTACGCACCGGTGCCTCTGGAGGCCTCCGTTGGACATGTCCAAACCATCTCAACCGGTGTTGGACAAGATTTTCTTCAATTGGTGCTACTCCTAATCTATCACGTAGTGGCGAGCTAAACCACGAGATAAACACCTTGTCTCTTGTATTCTTGCTATTTGTGTTGTGCTCTACTTGTTCGTTGGTGATTTCAGGGTTTGCTCCTAATCTACTTGTGCATAAGCTTGTGACCTCATTCAAGTGGTGAAATAGGTTCAACGCGACTCCAGAAGCATTAGTAATTTACTCGATCTAAGTTTCATTTGGTAGTTTTTGAATTGTGCCTTCGAGGTGCTCTAATACACGACACCACCACAGTTTTGCTCGACGACGTAAAAGTGCAGTAGTGCCGCACCTGTTACTGTTTTGTTTTAACAGGTCTAGTCACCCCGCATGCTAGATCCTTTTTAATAGTGAATCTAAAAATATCAGTATTGTGTTATGAACCATATATTTTTTGATCTGGTGGTCAAAGATACAAATATTTAATTTAGGATAAAGCTAATACGACATGTAAAAATAATTAGAGAAAATAAATACAGATAGGTATAGATATAGATAATATAGATGATGAAATGGGCTAATATTGGGGCCCACGAGCCTTGACTTGCTCACTTTTATTATCGCCGAGACGCCCACAGAAAGGGAGAAGATGGCGCATCCAGCATCCTGATTCGTGAGTCGTGACTTGTTGGCTTTCCTCAATTCCTTCTTGGTCGCTCCTCCGCCCCTGCCCCTCCTCGCTACAATCGATTTCGTCGTCGCCGCTACCTCGGTTGCTCCCCTCCTGCTTATCAGAGAGGAGCCGGGGGAGAGTGCTCCCTCCATCGTCGCCCAGCAGATCGATCGAAGCCAGCAATCAAATCAGAAAGAGCAAGAGAGGCGCCCGAGTCCCTAGGGCGGAAAGCCATGGACGGCGCCGCTTAATCTGGCACCACGCAGGCGTCGACCTAACATACTGCTCCCGCTTGAAGCGATCGGGCGCACCCAGCTTCAGCCCGAGGCGCTCCACAGGATCGTCAATAAGATGTACGTCCTCTCCATCTTCCTTCCCTCCCTCCTCCCCCTAATGGGAATTGTAAGCAACTGCAATCTTTTCCTTCCGCCGTGGCAGATCCATGTTGCTTCTTTTATGATTCGATCGACGATCCATGTACACCTGCTTCCCTCTTTACTTTATTTAGATTGAGTCTGTCTACTATACACCTATGTATTTTATGCAATTCCAACGCATGAAGTTTTTTACACCATAAGATTATGATCCAACATCTTTCACCTTTCTTCTACCTCCAACCTTCTTCTTCTACATCCAGACAATCATAAGATCACAGATCCACAGATCACAGAAAATATTTTTTTTCTATGGAAGGAGAAATCACAGATCCGCCGCCGTCACCGCCGTAGGTCGCGGTCGCTGCAGGTAGCCGCCGCCGGAGCCCAGGCTGCTTGCCTCCATCGCGTACGAGCTGCGCGCCGGCGTCCGTCAGTGTCACGTACTACACAACACTACTGGTCACTGGTCAGCGTTGCGATCACTGTAGCCACGGTAATGCTCCGTCCGTGCGGCAGTTTCTCCACGATCACGATCATGAGCGCGCGTCCGGCCGTCGTCTGATCGTGCCGTGCGCAGCCTCTCGAATGTGCTTTTGCGCGGCGGCAAAGCAAAGTGGCGCACCGCCGTACGCAAGGGCTGACAGCGCCCAAGGGCCGGTGAGAAAGAGAAGAGAGAGAGAGAAAAAAATACGTGTTTTTTTGTGCTAAAATACACGTGTGTTGTATAGCATTTCTGTTTAGATTAGATAGACAGTATCATGCTTGCTGGGTAGGGTTTGTTGATCCATCCGTGCACTTAGACCTACTGACCCATCCGTGCACCTAACAATTCGCACTTGGACCTAACAATTCGTCTACGTTATTTACCCACGAATCACCTACTCGTTTGTTCATGACATATGGATCCATATCCAATCCAATACATCATACTTTCTAAGATCATATATCTTTATTTAAACCAAATTTAATCATCAAAATTATCATTAGAAACTACTTGACTACCTCTTTGCTTGCTATAAGAGTATCTTTATAAGGAGAAAATTGATTATTTGGGACTCCAAACATTGACTCCTTGATTATGTTGCCACCATAAACACACATAGAAACATACGCAACTGCATATCGCAACTCTTCTACATGCACAGGTGACTTCTCATTTTTTTTCAACCATGAGGGGTGACTTCAATGTGCATTTGAGTTTTTTTATGGTATATGGGTGTAGAATGTGACAACTCATGACGTGATTGTTTTTTTTTCCAACACTTCTCTACCCCTAGTGAAGGGTACGCATGGCGTAGTGGTAGACTTCTGGCTTTCTCCAATTTGTCAACCTCCTTGCAAAATAAGAAAGGGTAAAACCATGTAAAAATCCACTTCCTAGACCCTCATCTTGTGTAGGACTTAGCATTGGTTATGTGGTATGACCCGAGTCTTTTTCTGCCAACTTATTATTAAGCCATGTATATGCTTGCCAATGAAATGTGTCCATTTTACCCTTGCCACCACTTAAATTTTACCCTAGTTACCACTTGAATGTGTCCATTTTTACCCTAGTTGTTTGTTCGGTTCAAAAATATGTATGTGCATTAGCGGTCCACAAATTCCATGCCCACTGTTTCCACTAGTGAACTATTATTTTTGTACATGTACTGGGGCTTCTGGTTTACTGGACTAATTAAATGGTAATCAAACACATTTATCAGTGTATCTCTCAATATACCACTTCTTGCATTATATATGTATAGAATGGAGACTCTGAAGAAGCACCTGCCAGTATCAGTGCCAGTATCCTTAGCTGATTGATGAATATTTGACCATAAAAGTTTTACTGGGCAAAACCTAAGCAAGACATGTACAGTCTAGCTAAGGATAAGAAATGAGATTCTAAGTAAATGAGCTGTTCATATGGCACCCTGATTATGTTCTTAGAGAACACATAAATCAGTGGGAGCAAAGTCTAAGGGATTGCGTTTTCTGCTGTTATAACTATTTCGTTAAGTTAAGATGTAATGAATGTGTCCATAGAGAATGCAAGAATCGGTGGGAGCTAGTGGGAGTTCACAACGGAGGAAGATTAAATCTTGGAGAGATGCAGGCTTAGTTTTTTGTATCAATGACTCAAGAAGAAATAAATATCTTAGTTTGTGCCATAAGTCATTAGTATACCTCCATTTAAATTTCTACAATTTCTATTGTGGATTTTCAAGAGTCAATTAGTAAGCCACAATAGATATATATAGCAAGCATTAGTTGATAATTAGGCACACAAGGAAACCTCTATTGTTAATAAACTGTTTGTGATCCATGATAAATATATAAGATGGTCACATCACAAGATGAATTTTGTTATTCTAAACTAAGCAATTTTATGAACTTAGGTCCATAACTATATATAAAGTGTGGGTGTTAATAAGTTTCCTATCGAAGTCAAAACAGTAGACTATAAAAGGGTCTACAATTTTATGCGAGGGCTTCGAAGGGAGTTTTGTAAGATTAAAACTAAGAACATACCTTACTATGGTTTAGAATTTCATTAAGTGGATAATTATGTTTATAAGAAATGGTGCAAAAGCTTATTGTCCTAATACTCTACATGAGTGAAGTTGACTTACGTGGCAATAGAAATGTCACATAAAAGTTTTCTACTCACCCAAATTTTTATTATGATATATTTTGATGAAGCCTCTGAGATTTTGGCTTATACCAATACAGGACCAATTGAGTACTAGGACTATCACAAAAGACATATCAAATAGGCATATCAAATGAATGCTTAAGTGATAGAGTTTGAATAAGTAACGCCACGTCTGTTTATTTGCATAGTTTAGTTGCACAACGCAGTAAGATTAATTATCCCAAATAATTCTAAGAATAAGTTAGTAACAGTTGAAGAGGAAGATGTTCCATATGCTTTGGCTGTCATTAACTTTAAGAATGCTAAGCCAATACTAGTCTAGACTTGGCATTGGGATAGTTGACAAAAAATATTAGTTTATTAATCCAGAATAGGTCCACTGGAAGGTACCAAAGAATTTTAAGTTATTGATGATGCACCAAAAGAATCATCAGGTCACTTATAAGAATTAAGAATTAGTCATTTGCCAACTCTCTTGAGTATGTATAAGAAAGTACACAGTTAGATTATACATACTCTTGCAGAAAAGAATAATTTCACTGAAAGCTCCAAATATAATTAGTATTAAGATGAGCTCAATTAGTGGCATGTTTAAGAATGAATACCACTGGACATGTGGCTTAAGAGATATTATCCCAAAATTGAGTATTGACATACTGCTATAGGCCTACAGTTAAGTTGCAGTATTATTTCGAGTAACAACAGATCAAATGCTGATGTCAAGCACATTGATTGATATATATCCTATTGTTACAAATCTTTAACTATTTTGGTCATTTTTTGTTTTTAAAAGCCTACACGTGGCTGCCAATTCTAACACAAGGACAACATCTGAAATGATTTATTTTGTGGATCTTTGCATTTTACAAAAATTCAGAACCATTTTGGTACAATACTAAAATATAACACTAGATCTATTTCAAGTGACAACTGTACTTTTTTAGAAACTTTTACTACCATATTGTCTAAAGCCTGTTTCGGCAACTAATGCTACAGGAATTGTTGGATTTTAGTTAGCGGCAAAGATCTGACAGATCTGCATGCTGAAGGAGGATCATAATGCAATTCCAAATTTTATATGCTGAAGTGTTTGTTAGAAGATTTGGGCTGGCCCAAATAATATTCCCAAATAAATTCCAAAGCCTACTCACACATACATGGTATTTATGGGGGATTTTATTCCCACATTGTTACTCTAGAAGGAGTGAGGTTAACTTAAATAGTTAAGTTCTCTCCAACTAAGCTATTGGAGAGAGGAAAATGAGGAAACACACGTGCTCGCCTCGCCACAGCCAGGCCGGACGAGGCGATGGGCGTGGGCGCGTGACATACTCGTGAATAGTCCGTCCTCGCTTCGACCTTGCGGGTGTGTGGCTTCCTTTTGCTACTCGATATTTTTACATGTACGGCATTAACGGTGATTGCACTAATTTCTCTAGTCGACTAACGGTAGGTCAACCATCTTAATGTTGTGATTGCGTGTCTAATTACTTTCCTTAGCTGCGACACGTGTATATATTGGGACGAGACGTCGTCCTCGGTACAGACAATTTATCTCCTCGTGCCACTATGCTGCGCTGCCGCCGTCTTCCCCATCTCGCCGCCGACGTGTCATCGGCGCTCGGGAGAGCAGGTCTCCAAAGCCTACATCCCCTCGTGTCCCTGCACGGGGTAGGGGGCGTATTTGGTTTTTTGGGAAGCGCCATCGTGACTGCTCGCTTGACGTCTTCCTCTCTCTACGCCGGTGTTCGCTGGTCTCAGTCGGCGGTCTGCTTCGCCTACTTTTGCGCTATCTTTAGCGCCGACAACCCCACTGTAAGAATGTCTTTATTCGCTCTAGTTTTTCTTTTGTTACTAGCGCTAGGGAGTTTGAGTTTATCTCGAATCGTAGTGCTAGTGTTACATCACACACATATGATACATGTTGTTGTTCTTTTCCTCAATATGGGAATCAATTTATGCATCACTAAATTGCTATTATTTCCAATGGTGTTTCAGTTCTTTAAATTTGGCAAGGCAGATTAGATTGAGATAGATGATTCTCTATTATACAAGTGATATTAAGAACATTTTTTTCCACATTTCACGTGCCAGGTTTCTATGAAGTTAATATTCAACAGCAAAACTTTGTTTATTTAAT